CTCTCAAAGTCACTAGAGTTAATTATAGCAGTAGTGCATGTTACATCCAGCACATTTATTCGATATCCTTGAACTCTGTATCTTTCTCTCACCATAATAACAGGGGCCAGCGAGCATGATGGCCTACTTGGTTGTTTCTGGGCTATTCCTAACTCGACTTAGAAGACCCATTGGTAAGATGACAATAACTGAGCAAAAGTATGAAGGAGAGTATAGATACATTAATTCTCGGCTCATCACAAACAGGTAAGGAGAAATGTATTAAATGTATTGAGCTGTACTAAAAATTCATTTTCATGAATATTGAAAGTCAGGTAGCAGTGTTACTGAAATTATGTCTGCGTGTATTTACCTTTTTTGAAAATATACATTATGAAGGATATCAGTTTTAAAACTCTTTTTCTAAGTAGTATCCCTGATTCTCCTCTTCATGTTGTTTGTTGTCTAATTTTCTCTTAATTTCACTTTAAACATAGCCAAAATACAATTCAGATTTACTTACTGTACTTCATAGAAAATTTTGTCTCACTTTATCCCAAAATAGTTTTATTTGAGACTATGCTTGGAATACTTAGTAATTCAATCTCACTGACTGTGTCTGTACCTAGTTTCCAGATAGTTTAAAAATCCAAAATAGGAGGAAAAAGTATTGAGCTTTGGAGCTAGCCTGACTATTTCCTCCACTTATCAATTGAATATCCTATGACTTTTTGCAAGTTATTTATAGCCTTTTCTTGTTTATAATAGGTAGATAATATAGGGTTATTATGAGGATTGAATATGAAATATATGTACATACACATATAAAGCTTCCAGCACAGTTTTTGGTATGTAGCAGGTGCTCAGTAAGTTTTCTCATATATTGATTTGTCAACCTTAAGTCATATCGAGGGTCCTAAAATGTATTTACTACCCTATAGGCATTTACAAAATTACTCAGGAAGTTACTCTTCTTAACCAGCAACCTTGCTGTTAAGAGTGCACGCTCTATCCACTGAGCCATCCGGGCGGCAGCTCAGCTCAAGGTGCTGAGTTCAGTCCCCCAGCCGCAGGTGCGCGTAGCCCACCATTGAACAGGCAATCCTGTCATTAGGAGCAGGTGCTCTCACTAGCTGAGCCATCCTGCCACCTGTTGGCAGCTCATCAGCAGCTCAGCTCGGGCAGAGCTCACTGGCCCTTGTGGGAATCGAACCAGCGACCCTGTTGCTCAGAGCTCATGCTCTTAAGCAAACTCTTAACCATCTGAGCCACTTGGCCAGCCCTTAGGAAGTTCCTCTTTTAACAGTTCTCTCTTCCTTTATTTCCTTGGATTGCTAAAATGTTACCAGTTTTAAATAGGGTTTTGTGCTCTAGGCAGAGGAATAGATTGTTGAGTAGAGAGGTCATTTGTCAAGTGAATGAAAGATGGTATCAGCTAGGAGTCTTTCTTTTGCAAGAAACAGGAAACGCTGACTTAGAAGGTTCCAACAATAAGGATATTTACTGCTTCACAGAAGAGCGCTTAAGATAAAGCAGTTCCAGGCACAGCATGCTCAGGGCCCTGGCTCTTCTTCTCTTGGCACTGCCCTCCTTTGCATGTTGCCCCATTCCTCAGGCTAATTCTTCCTGTGATCACAAAATGTCAGAAGCAGTTCCAGATCCCACTAGCCCTCCTTCCCTGCAAAAAGTTCAGAAACAAAAATGGGTCATCTCTTCAGATGTCTTTAAGAGAGCAAGGAAACTTTTCCAGAAGCCCTACAGCAGACTTTCCTTTCACACCTCATTGGCCAGTATTATCACTTGCTTGTACCTAAAGCAATTACAGCAAAGTGATTGGCTTAGAGTTTTAGACCTTTTGAAACTCAGTCTCCCTGTAGACGAGGTTGAGGTCATTACTAAACCATTTGGATACACAGAAAAGGATAGATAACATTTAAGAAAATTGGGGTTCTCTTAGGGAAAAGGACAAGGAAGAGAATAAATGTTGGATAGGCAGCCGTCAGTACTCGATGTTTTGTCCTTTCAGGTGTTAGAGTGGGGCTTAGATGACTCAGTTCAGAAGTAGAATTCTCACCTAATTAGTTCTTCCATTGGCTTAACTGTGTGAAGGAGGTAGAAGGAAGTAAGAAAAGTAATTAATTATAGCTGTGGAATTGTGTTTCTTAAAATGGGATTCTGATATCTTGGGGCTCTGTATCATTGTGTCAAGGAGACCATAAAACAGGTCAAACATAATGCATCTTTACGGAAAGTTAATTTTATCTGAAGGGGATAAAGTAGGAGCTACCTTGTTTTTATGATGGAAAAAAATACAGGTACATTTTGGAGTAGAATATAAAATTCACATAAAGTTTTAAGAGAGAAAAGAGACTTTAAAGACATATTAGGTATTTATTGAAGTCTGTTTTAACTGTGCCTTCTGGACTTCTGTGTAAATCTTTACTTCCCTCTGCTGTATGTAAGAGGTACTTTGCTGGGAAAGTTTATATCATATTGAATAGAGGGGAAAGACTAGACTTTAGGGTCAGATATGAGTTCTAATAGCTGCTTGACTGGCTAGCTGTATGACTTTCACAAATTTATGTAACTACATTGAACTTGCCTTCATCTATAAAAAGGCCCTTTTATTTGTAGTCAAGATCCTGTGGCCCTTGTGAACCCATTCAAACCAACTCAAGAAAGCAGAAGTTGTGAGGACATGGTGGGGGTTCCAAGAATAAACACGACTATGCAGCTATGCCTCCTGAGAGCTGGCACTGTGAAGCCATCAGGACTTAGTTTGCTTTTCTGTTTTTCAAAGACCGTATGTCATGGCATCACTACCTATCTTTGTTTAGCTGTTGCTTTCATTCCTTCCTGTCGGGATCTGTGCTCAATTTGTACTCTGTGATGCCTGTCCCAGCCCTGCCTTCCTCTATTTCATGGCAACTTCCTTCTTATTTCTTTACTGATAATTAGCCCAGCACATTTTCCAGCCAGGCTACATATGGCAAATGCAACATATAGTTACAGTGCAGTCTATGATCCAGTCGGGTATGTATTCCTGTGCTCTGATCAGCTGAGTTAGGAGCAGGGGGTCAAGTACAGACCATGGCTTGAGATGTACCTATAAGCGCTTAGTCACAAAATTTCCACTTAAATACAAATATTCGGTCATCAAATACTGTATTTCAGTTATTTTTCAGGCTTAGGGAACATTAAAATTAATTGCTAAATTCTGTTTTTTAATAGTGAAGAAATTGCCTTTTACAATGGGAATAAAAGAGAAAAGCAGACAATCCATACAGTCTTCCGAAAACTGGTAAGATAACATGCTTGAGGCTTATGTATTTATGGAAAGATTTTTTTTTTGGCCTATGCCAGTTTTTAAGATTTTTTTTTTTTAAGATTTTTATTGGGGAATTGGGGGGATGGGAACAGTGCTGGGGAATTGGGGGAAGGGGAACAGACAAGTTGCTGTNAAAAAAAAAAAGTGATATGTATCCACAGAGCTTCCCCCCTTATGATAGGCCCACTACTAAGATACTTTTTCACTTCATATCAAACTTTGTTCTTTATACAGCTTTCCAGAAGCCTTTGCTAACTGATCCCGAGCTCTAGAACTTTAACGCAACTACAAATTGTTGAGCTATTCAGCTTTCTTTTCTGCTCCCATTACCACATTTTAAAGTTTATTCTGTATGTGTGTGTGTTGGGTGGTGGAGTGTGTATATACAATTTTTCATGTATTCCATAGACATGTAGTCTTTACACCTTGGCACTTGAGCAAGTTTATGGCTCAGGTCTTATCACATCTGCAATAGGGTAAAATACTGAATTAATTAATTGTAGTGGTGTGCACTACAGTATATATATTTTAAATTATCTAATTGGACTTTAACTTAAATTATGAGTTTCTATTTTTATCAATAACTTTTGGATGTACTTGAAATTTACAAGTATTTCTAGCCTCTTGACAACTTATAAGACAAAAAACAAAAGGTTCATCTTAGTACAAGCCAATTAATAAACGAAGTCACAGGCCGGCCGAGTGGCTCAGTTGGTTAAGAGCTCACGCAAGAGTGCAAGCTCTGAGCAACAGCAGTTCAATGCCCGGCCCGAGCTGAGTTGCCACTGAGCTGCCAACAGGTGGCAGGATGGCTCAGCTAAAAAAAATAAATAAATAAACCAAGTCACTTATCCTGGTAATGCAAATCTTAGTCAGAAAGGGGTGGCTATAGACTTAAGTGAGTGAACACAATTTGGGTTTTTTGGAAAACACTTCAAAATATGTAGAACTTTTGGTATGTCAGTTGAGCTGTCTCTGTGTGAGGAGCAGTACATTTATGTATTTTAGTTTTAGAAGTTTGAATTTTATATCAGAAAATTAGATTCAGTGGCTCACTTGATTATTTCAACATATGGATGTTGTGATAAAATAATAGACTCAAACAGTTTTAAGAGCAGGAAGAGCCTCTCATTTTTACAGGTGAAGATATATATATATGCCAGATATATATATAGTAGCAGATTTGGGATTTCAGCTCAGGTCATGTTTTTCAGTGTCTTTGCACTATCTTGAGAAATTACTTAGATACTAATGGTTAGAGCTACCTTAGTTGATAGAAAGTGATAAATGTTTTTCCCACTTGATGGTCAGTAGACATTGGTGACGCTGTCTCCATTTTAAGTTTCTTGAGAATAAGAATGTGTCTTTTATGTATTGATTGGTCTACATGATATTACTGTACATTATGCATAGTGAGAACTCTGCATGTTGACAATTATGTGTTAATGTTGAATAGCATTTTGTATTTAACATGTATTAGCTGTCAGTCTAGGTAATGTAGTTCTTTCTAATTTTGTACCTTCTAATATTTATTTTACAGCCATTTTTAGACATAGTTTTGTATATCTTCAAGTTAACAAGTGCAATAGGAGCTCAGGTGAGTTTACTTTTATTTTGTCTTTTAAATTGTTGTAATGCTGTATTATGTATGAATAGCTGGGTGGTTTGTAAGAATTTTTATATATCTTAAGAACATATTTTTTTAAGATATGCCTAATAAAGTCTGGGTGTAAAAGAATACTATTCTAGAGATTTAAAAATTATTCTAATTTAGCTTTTTAATTTTCCTGAAGTCACATACTTGGAAAATTTTTGTGGTGTCAATAACCAGAAGTGCAGAGTTTACCATGGAACATAGATGTACTTATTGTTGCAAAGTAATGTCTAAAAAGAGGTTTGGAGACAGCCATTTTAATAAGAAATTTGAATGTTAAAATATCAAGAATACCTTTAAAATGACTATACCAGTTTCAAGAATATTTTATAATATAAATGGTTGACTATCCATGAGCCTTATTACCCTGTCTCTTTGCTATTTGTGTTGGTAAGAATTACCTTTAAATTTTTTCTGAATATTCTCATTGAAGTGTAATTTGAGTCATTTAATATATAATGTTATTGTTATATAACCCAACCACATAATACTATGGTTGCTTTATGCATAAATATATATGCATGTGTATGTATGTCCATTTTGTAGTTGATAAATAAATAATTTATATAGTGTTTTTTGTTCCTTTCCAAGGCACTGGGAAAAGCAGTTTTTTATTTGAATTTTACTGTCTACCTTCCTAACTTTTTCTATCTCGTAATTGAGATTTAATCATTCTTATAGCATGTTTTTACTATACGCAAATTCCTTACTCTAAGGAATTTAACTAATTCCCCTTGTCTCTATGCTATCATATTTTTATGGTACTTGTTACATTTTTATAATACTTAAATATATCTCCATGTATTTCTGTTATCTGATTCTGATTTTCTTTAAGGTAGATACTATGATTTGTTGAAATGCATGAATCATATTTAGTTTAAAAAATCTTGTATACACACTATATTCTACACATATTGTACTGAGTAGAAGGAATAAAAAAATGCATAAGACACAGTTTCCCTGCTGAGGAAGAATTATGATCTGGTGAAAGAGATAGATGTTCAAGCAAATCTAATGCAGAGTGATAAGTCTAATAATAGAAATTTGATTAAAGTATTTAGTGTTCAGGAGATCTGAAGGTGGTATTCAAGCTTCTTTGAGGAGGATGTGTGGGGATTCATTAGCTATGTTAGGCTTGCCAAACATAAGAACAACTTAATTCAATGGCATGTTCAGGAAACAATAGTTTCAGGATGGCAGAACATAGGATATATATGGGAATGAGGGAAGTTTCTGTGATGAGTTTGGAAAGGTAACCTCAACGCTTCTCTCTTGGGATGGTTAGTGGATGATGAGGTCACTTACCAAGATAGAAAGTATGGAGCTGGAAGCAAGATGTGTGAGAACGGAAAGGCAGATAGAGCTTGTTTGGGAGAACTAAGCTTGAGGCTCAACAGAGTAGTGAGGTAAAGATGAATAGTACTTACTTGGAAATAATATCTTGGATTCTTAGGAGTAATGGGACTAGAAATATAAATTTGTGAGGAGAAGAGAGGTAAGGAAGAAACCTCAAGGAATATTAACATTCAAAGAGAAGGTAAAAAAGAGGTCAGAGTTATTGTGGAATCTTAAATTAAGAAAAGTTCAAGAGGAGTTCTATCGGAAGAGTTTTAGGTGCCATAGAAAGAGTGATGACTGCAATTAGGAATTTTTCGGTGAGCATATTCGGGAGAGCAGGGGGATGAGCTGCAGTGGTGGGAGGAGTCGATGAGCAGTAAAAGTGTAGAGGCCCAGTATGTATTGTCTCAGGGAAGAAACAATTAAGGCAGCGGTTCTCAACCTGTGGGTCGCGACCGCTTTGGGGGTCGAACGACCCTTTCACAGGGGTCGCCGGGTACTCGTATGTGGGCGTATCTGCATGTGGGCCTGGAGACGGATAGAGGA